ACCAATAGAGACAGCAATAAATCACGCCAGCTGTTCCTTGCAAGTGATTGCCTTTTCCAAAGCCTGAATTAAGGCTCCTCTGTGCCTGATGTCCAAATTAAATGAAGAAAAATGGAGGGGAACAAAAACTTAACCCAAAAAGATGAATTAAGAACAAAAAAGGTTAACTGCATACAAATTAAGGGGCCCAATATTATTTTCAATAAGTATAAAACATCCAAATATACAAAAATACATGTATTCATTAAAATTGGTTTTAAAACAGTTATAGGCCCAAATAGAACCTCAATAAGAATTCAAATCATACAACATTCACAATTAGGGCCTTATGCGACCCTAAAACAGACGCATTTTGGCCTACTGGCCTTCTTCAGTGGTCCAGGATAAATGTTACACATAGGCTCAATTATTGCAATAATAATATTCATCAATATAGGACCAAGTGAAAATTATGTTCTGATAAATATCAGTGCCCCAAGGCAAGGATGTACTATATAGGCCTCATATGATATCACCTTGTGTCCAAATCAGGTACATGTAACCCAAACGGTGTTTCAATTGTGTACCTTCCTATTTTAATCCAAGAGAATCAATTTAAAAAGTGATACGGAGCATAAAAAGGTTTGTTGTAGATCCCTCAGGTGGGAATCTCTGTCTTTAGGATCGGAGCAGACACAGCTATAGCATAGAGCCTGGCTGTATACAACGGATTGTTTGGTATGTTTAGGATGGTAGCTCATTCTGCAGTCACTCCATTGACTGCCCATCAGTCACCAGGTTCAGTTCAAGATACTAGCTGCCAGGTACAAAGCCCTTTGTAGCCTTGGGCCCTTATACCTGCAGGACCATTTCTGCTCCTGTGCTGTCCCATGGAAGCTTCGCTCATGTAAGCATCTAAAGGTGCCACCCTGCAAATAGGCAAGAAGATCAACAAATGCCCGCAAACGTGCCTTCTCTGTTGTGAAATGGCCTGCCTGAGGAGGTCAGGAAGGCTCCCACACTTCTAGCATTCTGCAAAGTGTTCAAACCAGAATTGTTCAGGAGGGCACTTTTATAAAGGTCATATTACAATGAAATGTTCAGC